TTCTTACTGTTTATGTTAATATGAATGGACTCGATAGAGTCCAAAGACTGATTTATATGTGCTGGTGACATTTGAAGCTACGCTTCGACTTGCCTTTCCATCTGGAATACCTCTGTGCATGTGCGCACTGAAACATCTGGGCAGACTTCGATTGAAGTCTTCTTCCATCGGAATCCAGGAAGACTCAATCGGCAAGTAAATTCTTATTTTTAACTTTTTTGGCAACTAAAAAGTCTTAACCATGGTTATTTCTGATCTTACCTTATCGTGTGCAACACCATCAACTAATGCAGTCCATCGTGGTCCATGTCGAGTGTACCATCCTGGTCATTTTCCTGGTGATATCGATATTCGAAGGACGAGGACGTTTGCAGAACAGAAAACATGCACAGCTACAATGGGACTTCCCCCAGACTGATGTTGTAATACATTCCCCTTCCGTGCACGAATAAGTTTAGCCCATGTCGAGTGTACCTGGTCATTTTGCTGGTGATATCGATACTCGATCCTCTGCGAACGACGGCGTTTGTAGAACAGGAAACATGCACAACAACAATAGGACTCGCCTCAGACTGATGCTGCAATACATTCCCCTTCCGTCCACGGATAACTTGAGCTGTGCAAAGCATGAAGCGAGTGCAATCTCACCGTATAGCCTCTCTAAGAGTTCTACAAACACTCTCTCAATTTCATAGAAGGATGTCACCTGTTCTTACAGAACTGAATATTTATGGCAAGACGACTATCGATTCCTAAACAACCTATATTTTCTACATTTACCAATCATTTGGTAGATTACCCAAGTCCTAGCAATGAAGTCCTGTGTGCCAAAGTCCTTAATCTGTTCCCAAGATATATGCCTTGTCATTGAGGCTCTGGCAGAACAGCAGTTCATAACCACATCTGCTTTTTATGTTTTTTTTTTTTCCATCTTTTTTCTTTTTAAAGGGCGACAGCCTTGAGACATTGTCATTGAACTGTCCATCCCTAGGTAAGTCAGAATTGTAGTATTCACTCATCTGCTTCCAGTGGTGTTAGAACTTGGGTCTGTATTTGAACAGTTCGGGGGTGTACCAACTGAGCTAGGCCAGTTGGTTCTTTAAATGCGTTTTTGCCTGCTTCGTGGTGGGGACTACTTTTTGGCTAGGCCATGGAACATGGTTTCACATATGAGCAAGCTTGTCTTCTTTCAAGCTGTCAAAAGGACGTACCAGACACCCAATGGAAGCAGTGTTGCACCCAACAGTCGTTGGAGCGCAAAGCGGTCACCTCTGCATCTCGTTATGAAGAAGGCATTCCTAGTAATCTTGCCAAACTGGTGGAGAGCCGCTCGGTTGGAAATCTTGCATGCTCGGTTCGGAGGGAGGAAGCTCAGTCAGATTACACAAGCCAAAACCGCTTGGAAACTATGGAATCTGAGAGATCATCATCGTGACCTCCGCATCTCGGACTTACTTCATCGTGAACTGTCGTGAACTGTCTTTTCTATCTTCCCTGGCCTTTCTTGTTTGTAATCTGTTTCTTGATGCTTGTGGGTAACAAGCGGCTGGACTGCTGCCCCTCGGAGTAGATGGTGCTTGTGTTGTGTGTGTGGTTGTGAACTGTGCATCTTGGTTTCCCCTTTGCTGAGAAAAGTCATGTCAATATAGGCAAATTAAGCATCCTCTATAACATTCCCTCAGCTCCTCACAGTCGATTTCAACAAGGTAACACCTCCCCCTTACAAACTGAGGTGTAAGTGAAGCCTTGGCAGACAACGACACACTGTTTGACAAGGTAACACCTCCCCCTTACAAGCTGATGCGTAAGTGAAAGCTTTGGCAGACAACGACGAGCTGAGTACCAGAAGTGAGGTTGTGCTTGTTTTCCGATTGACCTTGGTTAGCTTTTGTTGGAACTGTGATGTTTGGTCTGCGCCTTTCTAACACTGACAGCATGTCATGGGATGAAAAAAAACACGTTATATTTGTGTGTCGCCTGGAACAGGGTGGTAGCCGTCAACAACAAGTACATTATTGGAGTGTATGCCCTTCGAGATATTCAGTATGGAGAGGAGCTCACCTTCGACTATAATTCGGTAACAGAGGTGAGTTCAAGTCACTTCCCTCGTTGACTTCCCTCCCTGTTCACTCCGTCTTTTTTTCCTGGCAGTCCCTTTTCGTCCTCGCTCTTATTGCAATCAGATTCGTTTTCAAACACACTTTTCACACATGTAAACAGTAACGCAGCACACTGGCGACATGCGCCCACTCAAAA